ACATTTAAGAAACTAAATCCGGCCATTTTTTATACATAGATTTAAAACACCTGTTCTCTTCATAGCAAAATGCATCTGTGATGAAAGAAATTCAACAGCCTCTGTATTTCATAAAGAAATACTTTTGTATCACATTACAAGCGTAAAACTCTGAGAGAAATTTGCAGAGACAGTTTCGGCAGTCTGTTCTGTTAACTCACAATGACGCCTCGGCTTCTTTGCAGTAACTCAAAAATAGTGTGAGACTACAAAAGGTCACCACATCTCACTGTGGGTTTTGTGGAGCATAAAATGAACTTAACCCATCACCGCAGCGTTCAGGCCCATACCATAAGCGGCCATTAAAACACCATCAAATTCACACTTTAGTAATTCCAGCCGTATGTGGAGTGCTAGAGCAATCCCATCGACTTAAAAATAGATAACAATTACCTTCAGCTTCAAATCCTGCCTTAATTTGGCAGGGGAAATATCCACCGCAATTCAGGGTTTATCATGCAAAACCAGTGACCACTGGAGCTGGGAAAAACATTAGTAGAGATCTTTTTTGGGGGGGGTAAAGTATTCAGTTTCTCCGGCCAGGGCTGTATAATGAAATAACTGGCCCGGATAGAAAATAAACAGAGTGATGTGTGGAGTTAATGGGCTTTTCATGCAAATGAGGGATGGCTGAATTAGCGAGGGGGCCCATGGAGGCGTTCAGGAGAGAACATCGGCTTTGTTCAGAGCCAGTGCCGTTGAAACCTTTTATCCCGTGCCGTTCGCTAACGATGGACGAGCACGCTGTGCTATAACATGAACTTGTCTGATTAACCAACGGGATCTGTCTCTTTATTCATGTTGGATGAAACTGACCAATTCAAATTATCAAGCTGTAGGAGTTGATGTTAAAAGTGTTTGGAGTTTCATCCATAATAGTAATGTCAAAATATGTCATAGCAATGATGTAAAAAGTCAATATGAAAGGGAAATCAACATGGCTCTCTAACTACATTTTTGCAAAAATGTACCTATACATACAATTTACTGTACTTTCCAGCTGAAATTAAAACTAGTGGCCGTAAAACACCAACAACTTTTCAAACAAATTATGATTTGGGGGCAGATTATCGATTAATAAAGATTTATTTTCATGCAGTTCCTTGCACAATTCTATGTTATGTTTATCTCAAAACACTTTTACCATAGTGCATGATTTGCAAACGAATATATTTTGATGTTTGCATCACATAACCAGCTCTATATGTATAGCTTTTCTGGTGTAGTAAAAATGCTCTGTAGCTCACCTGGTATAGCTGATCATTACACATGCAATGCAAAGCTCTCAGGTCCGTAAAACAAGTTCTGATAAAGACTTCTAGAAACAAGCTAAAATGACATGGTTGCTTAAGCAAATGCATGTTTGCTTTTATTAACACTGTACATTAGGTTTAGGGTAGTTGGTATGTTATTTTCAAATAGAATAGAGCATAAACATTTAAAGGGGTCATATGATGCGATTTCAAGTTTTCCTTTCTCTTTGGAGTGTTACAAGCTGTTCGTGAATAGATAAGATCTATTCGAAGTCTCAAACCCAAAGAGATATACGTACAACAACCAAAGAAATACAGTGTTGCCAGATTCATATTCAAATTTCACATAATTTTGCAAAAAATTTCGCCACATGCACGTTTTTCTAATGAGCCTGGGTTGATCAAAATCATTACTTAGTACTTGTTTAATATACAGTACATCTCTGGTCTTTTGTGTTCATCAGTGCATGTTATTTCAAATAGGAATTTTTTTTTATCTTTACCAAAGACAAATTCCTCTTATTTTCCAACCACTTTTTACAATTCATTCAATTCCCAATGGATAAAATCAAGTCCTGCCATTCATTTTTACACCTTGAAAATCCTGTTTCACGAAGCAGTGTGTGTCACATTACGGGAGTAAAATGCAATTATATTGTTGTAAATATTCTGAGAAGTTGTGTTAGTCTAAATGTAAAAAGAGACACTGTGAATTATATAACAACCACAGTCTCTTTTTCAGTCGACTACACCGAATAAACAGCAAAACAAAACAAGAATAAATGTGTATCTCTTTCGCACACTTACAAACACACACACACACACACTCATTTCTCCTATCACAATTGCAGACATGGTTTCATGTTTACACGGCACGATGCAACGCAACGCAACTCGTAAAAAGACAGTATAAGTAACCCCCTATCCATTCCTCTGCAGTATTTCACTCCATTTAAAATTGCCACCCGCTTCCGTCTTGCCAAGCCTGAATTCATTTTTTAGGAATTCAAAGCCTTTCACCCCTCTGAGTCTCTGTTGTGCCAGCGCACAATGTAGTTTGCATATGACTAATCATCTGCCGTGTTTATATGTAATCTCATATCATTTCAGGCCATGTCCCCTGTTTTGTATCTCCCTCTCTCCTCTCCCTTCCTCTCGTTCTCTTGGCTCTTGGCTGTATCGCTCTTGTGAAACATAAACCAAATCTACCTTGGCTGAAAAGCATGCAAATATCCCAGGCGTTCACTAAGACAGACAAGGACTCTTGCAATCGTGTGTAAGAGCAGCTAATGTTACACGTAAGAGCCTGTGGGCGGAATTCTCAATGAAACCCCTAAAACAGTGTTCTCAACGGGTGGGTCGTGACCAAAACAAGTAGCAGGTCTGCTCTGACAATGCTAAATGCAAATTATGAAAAGCAACTTACCATAAAATTGTGACAGCACAATAAGTTTGCTTTTAAAAGGGAGAAGAATCTCTTTTTTATGTCAAAGGTACACACTTAAAAATAAAGGTTTCAAAAGAACCTTTTAGTGAAAAGTTTTTAAAAGAACCATTATTTTCTTAGTGTAAAGAACATTTGAATAAACTAAAGAACCCTTTTCCATTATTGAGAACCTTTTGGGTAATGTAAGGTTCCATGTATGTTTATAGTTCTTCGTGGAACCATCAATGCTAATAAAGAACCTTTATTTTCAAGAGTGGATTCCATAGAACAACCATTTTTGGGTTCTCCTAACAACCTTTCAGTGAGCAGTTCTTAAAAGAACCTTTTTACACTATGAAGGACCTTTTGCACAAATGATAGGATTCCATGGATGTTGAAGGTTCTTTTTGGAACCACCGAAACGAAAGACCTTTATTTTTTAGAGTGTATTTTGGTGCAAAATCATCTGTCACTTGGTAATATGGTACATTTTTTATATTTGGCCCAATGTTTGTTCCAATCTGGTAAATCACACTTTGGATCTTATGTATTGTCAAGTTTCCCATGTAGCCTATGTCAAGTTAATTATTTTGCTTATTGTTGGTCCATTGCAGTTGATGGTTAAACAGGCCTAAGCTGGTTTTGGTTTGGTCTAGTTTAAAAGATCTGCCTTCTCAGCAGGAAAAAGCATCTCAAGATTGTTTGTAAAGACATTTTAGTGACTTTTATATTATGTGGCATCATGGTGAGTTTCCACTCAATGTCTAATGTGAATTCTGGACCCTCAAGCAAAACCAGTTGAGAACTGCTGCAAATTGTAGAACAGCCCTTTTCATTGCAGTTTTATTGATGCAGAGCTATTAAGTATCAGACCTTTTAGTAGGCGGAGATGAGATGGATAACACATCTCTTCTCGTGTTGACAGTTGTCTTTGGGGTCGAGCATAATTGTTTTGAATCCTCCAGGGCAGTGACTCGTCATTCAGCGAGACGCAGTGCTCCCGTGATGTTCGCTTTCTTCTCACTGCATTATTAGCAATATAAATCTACGAAGAGGTGAAAAGGCATGACATTCTCAGCTCTGTCTACATTCGCGATTCTGATCAACAAGGGAGATTAGAACAGGAAACAGACAACAAGGCATATCTAGTAGCTTTTCAGTCTTACAATTAAGTTGAGTTGTTATAGACAAAATGAAATCAAAATGTAGCCAATTTACTTTTTTAATAAATGTCACTGATTTTATTGTGCATGATTCATCAGTGCATGTTATACATACATAAAAAAAAAATCAAAATTTAATTACTTTCTCTGAACTCTGAAATGACTTTCCTGTTGAATAAATCACCTGGGCATGTGGGATGGGAAATACAATAACAAAACAAATACATATATGCAGTGCAATATCATTTAGTTTATAGTTGGTAAGATTTTTTTATATTTTAGAAATAAGTCTCTTATGCTCACCACGGCTGCATTTATTTGATCAGAAATGCAGTTAAAAATAGTAATATTGTGAGATATTATTACAATTTTAATATATTTTGAAATGTAATTTAATTACGTGATGGCAAAGCTGAATTTTCAGCAGCCATTACTCCACTCTTTAGTGTCACATGACATACTGTTTTCTTAAAGGGATAGTTCACCCAAAAATGAAAATTCTGTCATTAAAGGGTTAGTTCACCCAAAAATGAAAATTAGTCCATAAATTACTCACCCTCAAGTCATCCTAGGTGTATATGACTTTCTTCTTTCAGACGAATCCAGTCGGAGTTATATTAAAAATTGTCTTTGATCAAGCTGTTTCATGGCACTCAGCGGAGGCCCATAAAGGTAGTAAGGACAATGTTAAAATAGTCCATGTGACATCAGTGGTTCAACCGTAATTTTATGAAGCTACGAGAATACTTTTTATAAGCAAAGAAAACAAAAATAATGACTTCTCTTCCGTGTCAGTCGACACGCGTTCACAAAAGTACCATGACGCATGTTGAACATGGACTATTTTAACGATGTCCTTACTACCTTTCTGGGCCTTGAACATGTCAGTTGCGTTGCTGTCTATGCAGGGTCAGAAAGCTCTTGGATTTCGTCAAAAATATTTTATTCCATGTTCCAAAGATGAACGGAGGTCTTACGGGTTTGGAACAACATGAGGGTGAGTAATTAATGACAGAATTTTCATTTTTGGGTGAACTTAAATTATTCAACAAAATGCCATCCTGTGCAGGATTCTTTAATAAAACCACTGATCTTTTTCTCCTTGTGTTCCTCCTCCAGATTTTTCATATGACGTATGACCTGGCGAGTGCAGTGGTAAGAATCTTTAATCTGATTGGCATGATGTTGTTGCTGTGTCACTGGGACGGATGCCTGCAGTTTCTGGTGCCTCTCCTGCAAGACTTCCCTCCTGATTGCTGGGTGTCACTAAACGGTATGGTTGTAAGTATTCAAAACTTTTCATTACTCTTTCAGAACCATTTTCTGGTTTTATTTTGAACTGCACATGGGATCAGGTCAAAATTATCATTTGATCAGTGGACAAGAAAAGGATTTAGTGAAAATGTTCTCTAAATGTTTAACTGTTCTTCATTAAGAGACTTAATAATGACAGTAAATATATGCCGCGCTCACATAGTGTCAGAATTACCGTAATTACAAGATGACAACTCAGATCCTGAAACATTCACATCGCAGGACTTAGAAATGATTCGTTTCTATGGCAACTTTTACAGATCCAAGTGTGGCTTTGTTGGTTATGACAGCAAAATACTTAATCACTACATAAATTCACCTTCTGTGAAATACAGAAGAACAAAGAGAGCACCTGCTAACAATGGTAATAATAAAATGGCATATCAAACTGAAGTATGTGTAGAGGTTGTTACCTAGCTGTTCGTCTCACTGTCTGATGCATAATGCATACAAAACTGGAAAGCACTTGTGAAAATCGTAAGCTCCAATCAGATTGCCTTTGCAGCATAACTTTTTAGGGGTCAGGGATGTTTTTACCATTCTGCCGGGGCCAAAATCGTGTCTTAACCTGCGTTGAAATTCTGAGTGCTTGTGAGGAAAATCTAATCATTAAATTAGTTTGCCAGTTGAATAAAAAATGAGGGAATTAGTAACAAATAAACTAGATATTTCACAGGCAGAATTATATACGCTATCATTCAAAAGTCTGGGGTCAGTAAGATTTTTGTTTTTCAAAAAATATATATTTTTTTATTCTGCAAGAATGCATTGAATTGATCAAAAGTGACAGTAAAGAAGACTTAAAATTGTTTACAAAAAACTCAAATAAACACTCAAAATCACAAATGTTAATTTTGAGTTTTATATTTATCAAAAATATTTATGTTTATGAAAAAAACATTGATAATTTAAATAAATCAATTAATCAATTCTTGAGCAACAAATCAGCAAATTAGAATGAATAATTATTACATTTTAAAATATATTAAAATAGAAAACTGTTCTTTTTAATTTTGTAATAATATTTTACAATATTACAGTTTTTTTCTGTATTTTGATCAAATAAATGCAGCATTGTTGAACATGAGACTTTTTTTCAAAAACATTAAATCATATGGACCCAATATGTTTAAATGGTAGTATAATGTGATTAATGTTTTGATTTGTATATGTGAAATAATAAGTGCCTAGTTCATCTAGACCAGTGTTTCTCAACCCTGGTCCTGAGCGCCCCCCAACACTGCACATTTTGTTTGTCTCCCTTTTCTGACACACCCATTTCAGGTTCTGGAGTTTCTTTTAATGAGCTAATGAGTTGAATCAGGTGTGTTTGATTAGGGAGACACACAAAATGTGCAGTGCTGGGGGGCGCCCAGGACCAGGGTTGAGAAACACTGATCTAGACAATCAAAAGTTCTGAACACAAAGCTTACACACAAACTCTCTTCCTGTCTAAGTGGGCAGTTTTTGGCCAGAATAAGCTGCAATGTGCAATGCAATGTGTCAATAGCTATTACAGTTACAGTAAATCCACTGCAATGTTGGTGGTTTTACATGATGTCACAACATAGAAGTGGGGAAATTGAGAGAATTTCGTAGCAGTCAGAGTTTCAAACTTTAATATGTTTGACATAGTCATGAACAAACATCTGAACATACTTACACAACGTGATTGCAGCAATAATCTCACCACTTAGTCTACATAATGTTTTACGAAATCAAAAAGGAAAAAAGTTCATTAAACAACCCTAGCATACGAAGATTTGGACGTGCACGTCCCATTACTTTTAAAATCCAAGAGGCACTGGGCAGAACATTTGACACTTGACCTTTATCAAACGAGAGCTGTTCAGCTAATCAGGACAGATGGCTCGCTGTAGTTTTTCACCGCACATCATGTTGGTGCTAAATGGATGTTAAAATGCCAAGATCATTTTTTACTTCTCCCAGCTTTTTCGAATGAGTTCAACTCACATTCCAGGTCAAATTGCTGTGCTGGTAAAAGCATTAGGCTTTTTTAGTTCAAGGCCAAATGTGTCACGCTGTTTTAGGAAGTCAGATTTCTCTGATTTCCCGCTAACAAAAATTATGCATTCACTTTGAAAGCGTGCGCAGAGATCAGCAGACGGCCTGTAATGGGCATGTGCAAATCTCTTTGCATATTCGTCTGAGCTTGTTAGCTTGGCATCACATTAGATAACAGTCTTGGGTGGTGGTGGTGGTGGGGTGATAAGGCTATCCGCAGTTACGCAACCATATCCCCCTCAAGTGCTAGGGGGCTCAATCTAACTTTGAGGTGCTCTATGTGATACTGCAGACCCCTCGGCTCTGGAGGGCCTTACCGGGAATCGTTGATAGTCATGTTTTGAAATGTTGCGAAACCTCTGGCTATGTTGAACGTGACATTTCTGACAAATTAAAGACGCTTGAGAAGCCTTAGCTCTGTCTGTTTTACCTCAGAAACGTTTTATGTCATTTTACCTCTTCATCTCAGATGAAACAGATGGAAATTATGCATACAGCAACATCCAAGAAAACAAAGCTAAGCGAAGTCCTTTGTTATAGCTTTAATGCTTACAGGAAGTGACATTACTGTGCTCCAAATATGTTTTTTTTTTTTTTTTCAATTCTAAACATGAAAATGCACTTCAAAAAATCGAGTCTTTCTAAAGCTAAAGAAGAGGTCAAACGCTGGTGGCGTTTCACTGCAGTTTGATGCGATAGGAGATTGATATTGCCCCTTGTGGCTCTGATTTAAAATTCTAGCCTCAGGTTTCTTATTTTTTCCTTTTTAACCAGAGAATGAGAATTTATTGCAGTACATAAACACTTGAGATCTGTTACAAAACCTAGTGAGAGTTGCCTATCTAGACAGCATTTACAAAAAAAATGTTTTGGGCTGTTCCAAAATCATAATGTTCCAAATTAGATAAAACAGTTTTAATGCTGCCTTCACATCTTTCTGGGAAGTTCTGCTCACAAGCCTAGAAGTCATAATTACAATGTGCTTGCAAGTGAAAAAGTTGTCAGCAAAAAAATGCAACAAAATGAAAAGCAAATGACGCACACTGAGTGTGTTAATGCTTATCTTCATGTGTTATCCTGTGGAGCCACAGCTGATGTTGGGAAATGTAATATAATGTAATGTAAATGGGTGTCCGTAAGATTTTTGAATGTTTTCGAAAGAAGCATGATATCCTTAACAAGGCTGCATTTATTTAATCAAAAATATGGTTTAAAAAATAAAATATAAATATATATAAAATATGAATAAAAAATAAGCAATATTGTGAAATAATATTACAAATTTAAAATAGCTATTTTCTTATAGAATATATTTCAAAATATAATTTATTCCTGTAATGCAAAGCTTAATTTTCAGCATCATTACTCCAGTCTTCAGTCACATCATCCTTCAAAAATCATTCTAATATGCTGATTTACTACCCAAGAAGCTTTTCTTATTATTATTATTATCAATTTTCAATATTTTTTTTCATGATTCTTTGATGAATAGCAAGTTTCATTTATTTGAAATCTACATTTTTTGCAACAATGTAACAATGTTTTTACTGTCTCTTTTGATCAATTCAATGCATCCTTGATTAATAAAAGTATTTAACAATCAATCAAGCAATCAATCAATCAATCAATCAATCTTTCTGATCCCAAACTTGGTTTTGTATAATCACAATTCTGTAATCAATATTTACAATGAAAACATTCCAATTTCTATGCCACAAGTGTCAACAAATGTAAAATAAGGACAGTGAAACTTGTTTTCAAACTTTGAGCTTGTGTAAATATGTTCATTCCGTCATAACTTGTCTCTTGAAATGTCAGTCGCCTACAAACATGCACATCAACCACGACTACTGAATGCAGATCGCTTAATATTGTAAAACAGTCAATTGTGCCAGAGTTCATTCTCTTAAAATGAGCTTTTGTTATTGAGTCATCAATTCTGCAGGTGTTTTTGATGCGACATTTCCTCAGCGAGGGGTTTCTAAACTGATAGAGATGCACCACCTCCTCCTTTCTGTAAATTATATCAAGACTGCATCATGATTTTCCATCTGTCTCATTCCCCTGGGCTTGGTTCAGATAAATGCCACAACCAGAAAATCATAACAGAAACAAACTTTTAAAAAGGGGCGGGGCTGCTTGATATGTCCTGCCCTGTCTTCCTGTTTCAGTTAAAATGACGTCAACACATAGAGTAACGCTGCGTGTTTCTAAGCATTTCAGGGGACCTTTAAATCACTGTATAACTCATTATTTGAAAGAAATAGTACAAGATGGGTTATATATTCCACACGTGTAGTATCATTTTTTCCTTAAAGTCCACTTATAATGTTATGTCATAATGCATTCAGAATCTGTATACTATTTTTATATTCCGGGTCTGTTTGGACCCGAAGAATAATAATTTTATAAAACAGTCATAACTTAATATTTTTTCAACTAAACCTAAAACCATATTGTTTTTGATCAATATATATATATATTTATATTGATGAGAACTTTTATTTGAAAGCATTATATGAAATTTATAGGAACATATAATCTGAGAACTATTGAAATAATGGAATTAATTATTTATAACTCACGATTGCTCAAAAAGAGTCCAGATTTATGAAACCTATCTATATTTCTAACAAAACAGCATCTGAAAAGTTTTCAAACAAAATAAATTCATTTTACTTGCATAAACGTTTCACTTTCAGATGGAAAAGTGATCAGTTTTTCATACTGCAATGGTTCGCCAGTAGGCGTACATATTTGAAAAAAAAAAAGTGTGAATATAACTTCATACAAAATGTTATTTTTGGATTATTAGGTATTTTTTGACACCTAATAGTAATTCATACATACCTGGGTCCAAAATGGCTTAACACAATTTTTTTTTTAATGCTTTTATGTCTTAAAAAAATATTGGACAAAATCTGGGGAACAAAAAAAATTGT